AAAAAGTCTTAGAATGATACAAAGAAAGAGTTAGACTTGCAAATTAAAGCTATTTTATTAAATATCAAACAAGAAAGACCGTAGATAGTTTTTATAATTTATTTGAATCCAAGATTTTATACTAAAATATACTCAAACTGGAAATATTTTATATTTACCAAAAACTATAATAAAAAAAATTCAACTAATGTAAAAAGGTAATAAGAATAAACAATAATTTTAAATAATAAAAAGAAATAAATACGAAATTCATAAATTAAAAAGTAAATCATATATATTTAGCATGTCTTACCCCATCTCATTTATTATTACCTTTAAATTACTCATGAATGATTTGAAAGTTCTATGTATATTGATTTCCAGTCATGTTCCATGATAGGGACAATGGCTGTGGAACAGTGCTGCCTAACTACTGCAAACGTTCCGCTTAATGTACATTTTGATCACCTTCTAATTTATAACATAAAATTTTTAATTCTGCTTAAATTTTGATAAATAACAGCAACCTACGTTCAAAAACAGATAGCCGACCATTATTGATCAAAATTTTATGATTGAACGTTAAAAAAAATTTTTTATCTGCAATAAAGGTAAATCGATAACAAAATTCGTTCCGTGGTAGGGACATTTACCTTAAGTATATATGCCTATTAAGTTTCAAATTTAAGGTTATACGAATGTAAATATTAAGAAAAACATATTATTTGATTAATCATGGTTAAAAATTAATACGTGCCAACAATTAGTTTTAAATTGACTAACAATTTCTTGTTAATACCGTAGTCCACAGAAAACCCTTTTACTTTTTAATCTTTATGTACATTTAAATGTACCATCTTTCGTCCCTCACGACCAATCAGATCACGGCGTATTCTGTCGACAGCCAGGTGGTACTGATTCTTTTAGGATTGGAGATCTTTACTGTTTTAAAGAAAAGTTAAATATTTATACTAGTGTCCCCCCCCGTCTTGGTTTCGCTCAAGACTCACTAAATGGAACACCATAGTGTGTTGACATATAATGTGAAATGTTTTCAGTTAAAAATTTTACATCTATTCCTGACACTTCTCAGATCAAAAATTTTCTTATTAAAAACACATTTGATCAGAATCCATACAGTTTATTTGGTCAAATAATAAGCTGTGAAAATAAAAAAAATATAACCATGCTGAAGAGTATCTGATCCTCATGCCATAAAATGATTGTTATCCTTAAAAAGCCGTTGATTTGCAGTTTTTTTCCGTATAATCTATGAACAGGGCTTTTTTTTGAATCCATAACAATTCAAAGCTCACAAAAAATATGTAATTAAAAAACTTTTTTCTCTTATCTCACAACTTTAAACCAGAGCAACAAAGTTCTGGAGCTTAATCTTTACGTTTTTTATCGCAAATACATATTCTACCTATTTAAAAATCTGAAAGATTCCAGAGATTATTACTATCAGGGTTATAGTGAAAAGCTTATCCCTCGCTTAATAAGATCTTTCGTCATTTTCTTGACGCCTAAGATTGTATTCATAAGATGCATTTAAAGTTTTCCTTCCAATTCGACTTCTTGTGACTTTTAGAAGTGTTGAGATTCTTGTGAGTCCTAAAGGCTATTTTTTTCAACTTCTTAAAGTTGTTTTATATTTGTTGGTAAAGTAGTTCAACGTCCGATGGCCCTGAAGAGGACCGGTAAGCTTTTTAAGTAAAAACTTTCTTGACTGAAGTTTCCAGCAAACGTGATTGCCTCTATACCTCAGGGTAATCTTCTCTGGCATGTCATTGCAGCACCACACTGATAAGGAAGAAGACTACAATGTTTGAAGCTTGGGAGCGAGTAGGAGAGCTTTTTCCCAACGTCTCCTGGCATAACGTCAAAGACGTTGGTGTCTAAAGCACCTTTTTTTTTTGCAAATTCAGTTGTTTTGGTAATCTAAGGTGGAGAGGTAAGTTCGTGATGCTTGCCTGTTGGAAACTGTCCCGTTGGCTCATGTTGATTATTTTTTCTTCATAGCTGTAAGGTTCTCCCAGCACTGACTTTGGAGAGAATCAGTGATTTCTGGTTGAATGCTTAAAGTCGAGAGGATAATATAGGGTCATCCAACACCGGGTTTCCCAGCCTTGCGACGAACAACTCTGATCGTGACGTCTGCCAGTGAATGACTGACTTGGTTTAATAGTGGTCAGCTTTACATAGTCTTTTAGTTAACAAACCGTCTTCAGAATTAGTAGTCAAAATGTATTTGTTGGCTAGGTAATTTAAACTCAGGTGGCCCTTAAAAAAACCAATGATATTGATGGTTAAGTAGGGAACGTGAATACTTACAATGGCCCTGAAAAGGACCAGTGGTAAAACTCGCATCTATTCCTTATTATTATTCTTGATAATGATGGAGAGCCAGCTGCTGGTAGCTTGACTCTTATCCTTTGAGTTTCTGTGTACGTAGGCCGTACAGGAGGGAAGTTCGCCGCTGACTAACGAATATCTCGTCTTTAGGTCGTTCTCCAGATAACCAACCAACCATTGTTAGTCAGGAAAGTGGACCTGGAGACTACCTTCTCTGTAAATATGCCGTTGGGACGACCAATAAGAAGAAGGCCATTGTGGCTGCCCGTACTTTTCAGGGCTGTCTTCCCTGGCTTGCATTTAATGTAGAAGACTTTCTGCGGTACCAGGTCGAATGGATAAACGGCCACAAAGCACTGAAGTGCTGGAGTAGGTTGAGCTCTAGCTAACGTTCCAAACAACTTTTTTTCGTGGCACTTGTTTATTTTGGCTATCCAGGGTTAAACCCGATTTATTTCGTTTGCCCATGAAAGGAGAGTGTCATCGGTAGCCGCAATACCCAGCTGCACACTACTCTACTCTGTTCTTGGTGTAGTGCCGATGATCGACTACGATAATCGACATCTTAATGGGGCATCTTATAGCCACCTTTCACTATCTTTGATTGCGGGTGGCTTGAATTTTACCCCGACACCGCCTAGCGGATCCTACTGAACTGAATCGCAAAGCTAGCTTATTTTAGAAAAACTTTGAGCTTATTCATCGCTATTGTTATTAACTTTTTCAAGAAATAAACTATGCGATAACCATCTTGGAATCATCAAGAATCAGTATGCAAAATTTCAGCAAAATCGGTTAAGTAGTTTTCACGGTTAGCGATTACAACGGTTTTAGCGACTTTGTTTCATATATTAGGAAAATAGAAAGGATTGTTTGTATAAAAATGACTGATCAAATATTTTTTTCGGCTTTTTTTTTAGGACACTGAATGTTAATATTCGTTTGTAGGGTTTTGTGTCCTACTATATCTATATCACGTCGGGGTCACCAAATGTAGGGCAAGCGTGCTCGAGAGGAAGGGAGAGATAACCTGGGCAAAAGAAAGAGACGTTATTGCGTGTACTGTACTCTTGTTTATTGAACTGTGGTCCGACTGTTCAAGTCGGTAGGCGCAGTTAGACTGACTACAAGTGTGTAACCCACTCTCTCTCTCTCCTCTGCTAGACTCGTGATTCTAGCCTGCACTGAGCTATGTGGTAGGGGGGAGTCCCTATACGTTCTTATATAAATGTATATTTTTTTAGTAATCATTACATATAACAGAACCTGAAAATTGTGAAACAAATAATGTGAGGCTACAAATTTATTATAAAATCATACGGAATTCGTGATTACACAATGTATGTTTTGATAAGTCTGACAGTGACAAATGTGAAAAGTTTTCGGTAGTCATTTTAAGTGTTTTTGTAGAGGCCTTCGATCTTGTTAATTTGATTTAAAATTCAATCAAATAATCTTTAATGAGGAATGTATAGTGAAAGCTAAATTCAGAGAGCACTAAAGCCACTCGGTCCTGATTAATAGATGTATAAGTGTATCTGTGGAAGTATATGTAGGGCACGGTGTAAGATATATTCGTTACGCGCCTATGTCAGGTGGCGCCATTGAGTGAGAGAAATTGTCCCTCACTAAGATCGCCAGAATGCATGGAGTCTTTTAGGAAAATTTTTTAATAAATTAAAAAGAAGGTCATTAAGAGTGAATGGACCAAATAAATCAGTGATTTGAGTGTGTCTTATGTTACTGTACAGTAATAAATTTTGTTTGGTGTTGCCATGTGTACTGCAAGATTGGAGAAAATGAAAATATAAAAATATAAAGAAAATTAAAATATATATATACTCTCCTCGCTCAGCNTATATATATATATATTATACTGCTTTACGCCCGGCTCCTATGTAGGGCACTACTCTGGAAACGTAACACTTGGGAGAAGGAAGGAAAGAGGGATGAGTGGCCTCCCATTACTCGGAGGGGGTAGGGGGAAAATAGGCAATTTTTCTGCGAGAAAGTTGCCTAAGTCCTCCTCGAGAAACATTGTGTGATGAAAAGGCACATGTGAAAATTCACAGAGGTACTTGCCCGGAAAAGTCGCACTGGCCGGGAATCGAACCGTGGTCTCCCCGCATGCCGACTAAGCCACCTCGCCAACTAAGCTCCCACGCGCTCGTAGTATATCTATACATGGTGGTATTCGCTAACACTAGTAGTATAGATATGTATAGTAATCAACTCTCATTCGTCATCTGCTGGCACATGAATGAAACAGCACAAATATTTCACAAAAAGTATGCCTACATGGGACCACCTCCAGTATATCTTACACCGTGACACTTACACGGTTAAACTAATACATTTATAAATTAGGGCCGAGTGGCTCTGGCACCCTCTGAGCTAAACTTTCACCATACATCCCTCATTCAAAGACATTTACTGTTGTAGTGTTTTTTACAACCTTTTTAGTCCTGTAAAATCTGCAAATCTCGATAGTCTTACTAAAAAACCTTAGATTATTGAAACCATCATAGTTTAAGATATTAGCCGATCAAGATCACTCGTATGGTATCTAAAACTTTATTTTTAACATTATAAAGAATAGTATTAAAATAATCAGTGGTAACGGAAAAATTTAACGTCAAAGTTTGGGAATACTTGTATCATAGCAGATGGCCATTTGACACAGCTTACACAACTGACGATACAAGATTCAAAAATTAGCCAAACTATGGATGGGACTAACCTGTCACCTTATCATACACCCGGTGAGTCTACCATCTCTAAATTTTTCTTAATATTTTTAGAACGAAGTTTTTTATGTTGCGTACTGGGGAGGCTAAAATTTAAAAAACGACAGATTTTATGAAACGAAAGTGGCTTACTGGAAGTCTCTTCCTCTTAATTCATTGTATTTTCCCCCTTACCCCCTCGCCCTCACCGTCAGTCCCCTCCACACTTCCCCTTACCCCACCATATATCTTTCGACCATGCTACGCTACTCTCCTTCACACCTTTGCCCACCATTCCCTTTTACACTCCCAAGCAATTAATTTTTAAACGAATTTTAATTTTATTTTCGCACAATAATTTTTATTTCACTGAGAATTTCTTTCTTCTAAAAAAAAAAAAAAAATAAACACTTTCCAATAAAGAGATTTGAACCCTCGACCTCCTGCATATAAGTCGTGTATCTTACCCACTCTGCTACGAGCGCTGCCGACGATATTAATTCGGTTTCTTGTACTTATCCGGTGGTTCGTAACTATAATATTTCATTTTCATATGCATTCACTGATGATACATTCAATTAATGATGAATTGTGTATTTGTTTTCTAAATGAATAATCTAAAAAAACAAAACTTTAATTAGCATAAATATGGTTATGTAAATTAAATCGAATAAGGCGCGTTATTACGAATTAAATATTTGTATTTTATGCATTTGATGCATAAAATACCGACCGATTTTTATTAAACCTGAGGTTTTTTTGGCATTACAGTAATGCTAATAATTACTGTTATAAATAAAATATTTTATTAATAA